AAATATGGTGTGCACTAATGAAAATAAAGTAATACAAGTGTTACAAAATTTGAAAATGATAGTTATTCTCTTTCCGAAGTACTAATCTCGAATCAAGTATAACGTTGATAATATCAACGTTCTACGGTTACCTATTACCTATCGTGCTGGAAAAAAGCATCGGCACCGGCATCGGTGAGCCTAAAGGTCGGTACACTCCGGAACAGTCATTCTGTGGGATTTCATAAATCTACCTTGCCAGTTCGAGTCCTCTTGGGCCCTTTTTTCGGGCCGCGCGTTAACACAGGCGTTGCCACTCTTTAGTAATCTCTCCTCGGTGCTGAGCGTCTAGACTGGAGAGTCGGTCAATGTGCGAGAAAGACAAGCGTCTTCGCACGACATCTCTGGAATCAGGCATCGGATCAAGATGAACCAAATGACATTTTAAAGAGGAGACTTTTTTCATGAGAAATTTCATGCTTCTATAGTAATTTGTTGCAAAGTTATGAGTACTTTTCAGTCTTTCACAGTGACATGGATTTGAAGAATTGCCATAAAAATCGACCAGACCAGACTTGGGTCGGGTCGCTATTTTTAATAATTTATTACTACGTTAGTAAAAATCTCGTGACTACAAAATTAAGTCAAGTAAACGACTTTAAGAGATACGATACTATTTTTCTAAATGCAGATTAACAATTAATTTTTTAATTCGACAAAAGCTTTTACCAACAGCATGATTTACCTAATTTGAATAAATGAATATTGGAATTAAAACTCATTAATCATACGATTGTCTAACATTTATTGCCCAAGTACACGATAGATTACATTGTATTTACACGGGAAAGGGATAGATGAGGAATCCGGGTTAGGTGATGATGGTTCGTGATCACAAATGCAAAAACTAACACGACATCGTCTTACAGCTTAACGTATTTACATGTCCCTGAGGCTTAGTCTACGTTATCGTACACACGCTATTATCTTACAATAAAACCACTGTTATATCCTACGCGTCGAAAGCATTTATCGGTTCGGTTTTACTTTTAGGTATATCACACGTTCTCTATTACGTTTACACTTTTACACACAACGGTAGTCGTCGCAAGCTGGACTAAAAACAAACGATGCGATGATGTATACTATACAGTTCCGTTCTCCCTTAATAGGCAACGAACGTTTATGCAGATTCACAAATGAAATCTAGGATCTTTTATAACGTCTATTAGACTGGATCATAATTAAACAAGAATGAATTACACAAACAAGAGTATCTTTACATGCACAATGTGCATAAGTATACTTCATAATATATTCGTAACAATATAATCTGTAATCTACATACATACGTTCGAAGCATATTATTTAATTTCCACATCATTTTCCTTCTCATTTATTTAAGGCCGAGAAACGATCGCCCGATTCGCGTTTGACAAGCAATAGTCAGCGTTGAGAATGCGTGTACATGTTGATTACAGACTCGGTTTATTCTACTTGTACTGATCTACGTTCTTTCGAACGTCGACTCGAGGAGTGGAAGAAATGCACGATGCTATTTCACTGGTAAGGGTACGTTAAAATATTACCCCAATCGTCGATGTGCACGTCGCTATACATTTATCGCACTATCTTTGGTTATTGTATAATTATGCACAGAACTCAGAAAATTTATATTAAAAAAATGCAATAAGTGCTCATGAAGCACATGGATTTTTTAAATTACGCAATAATATACAAAAGTGTATAACGTTATGAATTTTTTAATAGCAGTTCTTATTTATGTAATAAATATATATATATATGTATATATATATTGTAAATAATTAATATATAATAAAAATAAACTCATTTACGTCTTCAATAAAACATCGAAGTTCTTTCTTAATTATTAATTTGTTGGTATTAACCCGTCTAGGACAGCCATCTACATCAGAACCATTTTATATGGTTATAACTTAAAATGAGATTAAATATTTTACATTGAATATATTACATGATCTTCTCTCAGCATCATCTTGTTTCGTTAATTTTATGTTTGCTGGTACTTTGGGCTTAATAATTAACGACATTGTTCGTGTTGTTGTTCTTTACAATATAAACTTTCAAAGTATAAGCTGCATATTACATACGGAAATTAGGAATAAGAAATTCATAGATAAACAAGCTCATCGTTCAGTATTTTAGACTGCGGACGTTCACACAAATTTTCAGTTTCCGGAAAGAAAAAGAACGAACATACGATAATTCAACAAGTTCCAAAAAAATTTTTAGACTGGTCAGAAGTATGAAACTATTTATCACATTTCATCATCGAACGCTTTTACAAACGATGTACAATAATTATTAAAAAATATAATTGTTCGATGTGGCGATAGGCCTCAATGAACTATCAACGAGCGTACGAAACGAGTTGTTGGAATTTTCAATGAATTCCCTTTGAGCTTTTAAATCTGTAATCGAATTCAATGGGGGTACAAATAACTTCAAATATATATCTGCTCTTTAATTGCATTTCTTAATCGTTGCAACATTTCCTGAACACATCCACGCATATTATTCTGTACTTTGATTTATAAAGTATGACTTGAAAGAGAGAATAAAATGTATTCCAATATCCGACTTGCAACAAATTCAGAGATCCTTCAAATAAAAATATTACCTATAAACAGAAAATATAGAATAAAAGAATGGCATTTCTATCAAAAGAGAAATGCGCGTTCCTTTCAAGCACGCGTCTCACTGTCAGAAAATCCTATTCCTTTTCAATTTCTTCGACAGCCCTTTACAAGCCCGAGGAATTCTCATAAATAGGCTAAATCTGGTCCTGGACGCACCGTGTAACGTTATTATCAATGTTCCTCCTGCGTGTTAACTTTGTCATCGGAACATGTTATTAATCAGTTCGCCTGACGAGTGAAACTATGATCACAGAAAGGCCTACGTCGACAAGCCGCCAGCTAAAATGGCGGTGACGGCGGTAATACCGAGATTCGCGAACAAATTCGCGAAGATCGACGAGGCTGTGGCCGATTGGAAATCGCTCTGTTCCTCGTCGTCGATGGCTTTCAGCATCGGCTCGTCCTTCATGCCAGCCGAGTTTCTCTCGTGACTGTAATCGATCTTCCAGCTCTTCTTTGAGTCCCGCCTGCTGTTTGGCTTGCGAGTCGTCGGCGATCTATCGATTCCTGAAAGATAAATATGTATTCAACCAACAGTTTTTAAATAACTCAAAGGTAATTATTTCTATAAAACGGGAAGCACTTGTATAAAGTAAATTAATGTGTCGTATCTTTTCTATGAAGCAATAACTTGATTCCACAAGTTTCTTAATTGAATTAAAGAATTGATTGCAAAGTGAAATCTTTTGTCGTGGATTAATGATAGTGCCTGAAGTAATAAAAATTCTTATCGAGAAGAATTGCCAGTTCCTTTGAATTCATTTTAAGTGAAATCCCAAGGCTGATTCCTCGTAGACAGAATTCGGGATTTAGAGCTTGCTCGAAGCCGATGCAATTGTCACGAAGCTCGAAGAAATATCTATATCGGATTTCTCGAGGCGAATTGATTGTATCTTGTTTCGTGATCGGGAAACAATTTCTGCCCCGAAGTGGTAATTCATTGCCTCAATTGTGTTTTTAACTGAAATTTTTATACGGAACAGAACGATACTTACATATTGAGACTAATGAAGAATAGAATTTACATTCGATAGTTTTAATGTATAAAAATTGAAAAAACGAATATTGTACGATGTTTGAGTATTCCAAATACAGATCTATAGTGCGCATTTACCATTATCAGTTTCACATAAATTCGGCATTACGCGCAATGCGTTGTTACTTGATCAGTGTAACGTTAGTGCACCATTAGTGTAACGTACTTCTGACAAAGCTTCAGATTCAGCTGCAGCTAGAGGCTCAGCTTCATTTCGTAGTCTGACCTATAGTTTGATGCTTTTAAAGGAGATAGCCTCTGTTCCTGCATTGAGCTTCCAAAAATGTTGTATAATTAGTAATAAGTCGTCTTTGATAAAACTGGGATAATTCCATTTTCAGAACTATAAGCAGCATTATGGGTATTATGGGTGGTCCGTGCGATCCATGTCATGCAGATCGTGCAAAGAATGTTCCCACGTCAATGGAGCATTGTAATCCTATTACACCAGAATATCGGTAAGCGCTTTTGATTGAGCCGGTACCTCTACGTTAATCTGCTACCCATTGATTTGATAAGCTCGTTTCAAATCCGCTTCACCGGGGTTGTCGCTTTTGTACATCAAACTAATTGCATTAAACACATACTCGTTTCTTAACGCATCTATATTTTCTCCATATTTTTCACATTGTTCTTCGTATTTATTAATTGAGATCATTTTCCTAGAAAGTTCATCTTTATTGGAAATTTTTCAGAAGAAATATATAAGTTGCATAAATAAATTCTAAATTACATTAAAACAGAAAATTATGTCTGTCATAAGAATGATTCTGATCTAAAATATCGTTGCATTCTCTCTGTCAGGCATCAACGTTTAAAACGTGAACGTTAGTTCGCGGTATTATCAGAGTTTAAGTTCGCAATTACCGGTGTGGTTTTCACATTCCGTCAATCATAAAGAGCGGCTCCCGAGTAGGTACGCGACGCCAATTTGTGCGCTGCGTTGCTCGTAAATTCCGCATTCTAATTAGGACTCGGAGGACTTAGAGTTTCTTCCTACTTGTGAACGGTGACGGGCGTATCATAAACTGGCGAAAGCACCGAAAGTGGAGCCGAACCTCGGGACGGGCTCATTCCCTAAATTAACCACGCAAGCGTGCGATGTCCCCGCGTTGTCCACATGTAAATAATTTCGTAAACAATTTACGTCCGCGAGAACTAATGGTATATGAAAAATTCATCCTATATATCATTTTTCCCTTGAAATGCGAGCATCCGGTGAAGCTTCATCTTTTTCACGCTGTACAGTTGTTTATACAGATCGGTGACGTTAAAGCGGCTTTCGACGGTGCAATTTGACGGGTAGTAAATCCTCCGGGCGAGACTTCGCGGCGTTCCTGCTGATGAGATTCTGCGCGTTCATCTTTATTAATGGACAGATCGGCGATAACGGGCGTTACAACCGCTCCGCGACTATCCGTTACGTTACACGGCCGATGCCACGCGTTACTGTCCAACTCGATGGACACCAAGCTGCTGCAGATTGGTTTATTGATTGACTAGTAGACCGATCGTGGCTCGTAAGCAATTTCGGTTCGTTTAGAATGCGAATCGCGACTTCGATCGACGGAATATAAACAGGGTTTTAATTAACTGATTTGCATCATATACGTTTAAAGATATTAATAAAAATTAATCAGAATATTTCATATAATTGTTGGATACCTTTTTTCATCGTATATAGAATTTGGATCAATTTCTGATTTGATTAAAAGAGATCTCATAAAGCAATGCTCATTGCAAAAATATTTGATTAAACTGAAATTCATTTCCTAAGGCTCTATAGTGAAATCACTAAATGAACTTCAAATTCTGCTTAGGGTGATAACCATAAAAAAAGTATATGTTATTATAAATTGAACTTTTCGACTGTAATTTTGTAAAAATTGTTGAAGGACTTGCGATCGGTAGTTGTTACTCGACGAGTACTTCACGTGAAATCGCGCGCGGGAACACATGAAGGGGAAGAGTAATAACCGGAAAAATAATTGGGCCGAACCGCGTTTCACGTGGATTGAAACGTCGCGTGCCGCAAAAGGCTGGGGACCAGGGGTTGCGCTTGTCAGTAGCACGCCGGCTGGTCGTCGTCGGGCAAACGACGATATTAATTTTCCCCGTGGACCCACGCTGTTCGAAAATACACTTCTTCCAATTATTCCTTTAAAGGGGTAACTGGGAAGCGCGTCAGCCGGCTTCTGTCATTTGCGGTCGAAGCTCCCGTACGATAAAAGTTGATGTCACGACCGACGGATCCGATGCAATAATCGACCATACCCAATGACGAAATCCCTTTTCATCTAGCATTTTATTCGTGAACTATAGATTGATAAAACCATATACATTTTTATACAAAAAAGATTTTATTATGAATTGAGAGTGTCTTACAATTAATGTGGAAATTTTATATATTAAGAGGAGATTGAAAGAACGGGATTTTTTATAAGCGTGATAATATATGGAGATGGAGCTGATTTTAAATCAATTTATCAGTCGTTTTACACGGTCTCAGTTGAATAGTAAATCTTAGTATGGACACGTGATACTCGATCCAATTGCAAATTTATCGAACGTTAAATCCCACGTGGGTCGATGATCAAACTCGTCTTGTTTGAATAGGTTAACGTTGTTTAATTTCATTTTGATCCTGTATTTAGACGGTTACAATGCTGTCATGTTTGCTTGCAATTAGATACTGCACTCACACACACTTAACAATAACTTCATTGTCCCTTACAATTAGATACGATTAAAAAATGAGGATCATTGATTTCATAGGCGATATTTCATACTAATTGAGTTTTTTTATTTACCTTTTGAAAACAAGTTTTCAATCGTTACGAATAATATGACTGTAATAATTATGAAATAACATTGTGCAATGTGAATTGTGCGAAGTGAATAAATTCGAAATCGATGCGCTTTAATTTCAATTATTAACTTACGTCGTCGACGTTAAACAAGCGTACAAGACTCTATGGGATAATGACAAAGTTCAGGTTTCAGTGGAACTCGATTCTGTAATTGTGCGACTGTAGGCCTCCGCGTTCCAACCCCATTTAACGAGCTAGAACTAATGGTTCGGATCAGGAGTCAAATGCTCAAAAGCTACTACCTAAAGACTATGACAAAGGTTAATTATTTTAAAACACGAACATACGTCTATCCATAGAATATTACAACAAAGAATGTTCTTCGTTATGAACGTGATTCAATTTCTATCTTCAAACAAATTTATACGTCGGCTCTTATTAAAACTGGTCAATGGCATACGTCGTTTAAACCAAATCCTGTCATGCCGGTCTCTTTATCTGACAAACAGAATCAAATTGAATGCGACGCAATCTACCCCATTGAAACTTGACGTTTGCAGCGTACCTCGTCGCATCCAATCCAATTAGCACAATCATTTGTTATTCCTTCCATGTCGCAAAAAGTGAAATTAATTTCAGATCAGAAATGAAACCGTTGAACAGGTCCATAGCTCTTTTCCATTTTCCTCATGCAACAATTCGTTCGACTCACGCTCGACCTGAGTTTCCGTCGGAATTAATCTACTTTAATGAAGCATATAACCTGATCGTAAGATCCCGCCGCTAATTATTACTAACGTTATTAGCCCTCCGCTCGGTCGTGAAGGAACAAGAAAAGAGGCGAGGGGGCGATTCGAGATACGTCTCAATGGGGCGCGAAGCATTGAAGTAAACGGCACGGCAGAAGCCAATTACTCGAGGAACTCGCGGTGACGGTTGCACGGGTTGTCGACCGCTTTATTTACAATTATCGATAATTAAGTACGTGCCCGAACCGTGCCGTTCTCTGTTCATTCAACGAGGGAAGCTTTCGTTAAATTCGTCCCCGTTTCTCCCAGTGTCCGATACCCTAATCGGACGACCGATTAATTATCAGCCGAAACCCCGAGACTCATGCCCGATACGCGCTTCGTCGTTTAATCGTATGCACGTCACTTTAAAATCGGCCATTGGCGTTTATTCAAGAAACACAGATTTTCACCGGACCCGGACTATAATTGCGAAAACTTCAATGGCTTTTGTGTTCGTATAGACAAGTTTTATAGGTCATATGTTTTGTACGACAGTCCAGCCTACTAGCGTTGAATATTCTATCTGTTCCCTAAAAAAAAAAAACAGTCTTTTTAAAAGTAGAAACGAGCAGAAAATTTCTGATTTTGTCCAATATTTTTGTCCCGTTTTGTTTCTATTTTTACTTCGATCTAACACGCAATATGAGTGATCATGATTGTTGTTCTAAATTATAGAAGAACGTTGAAAAAGCTTTTAACGTTTCAGAGTAATATCATTGCCAGATTCAAATGCCAAAATCGAAAAATAATTATAGCTTGGACTGATTTCCGTTGAAATCGATATTTGGAGTCATTCGAGTGGACGAACTTCCAGGAGATTATACGGACGAGGCAGGTGACGTTTATATAGGAAATTTGACGTGACGTGATGCGACATGACGTCGTGACGTTGTGCGAGTAGTACAGCGCGACCTGTCATAACTGGTCTGAAATTTCTTGTCGTTCTCGGTTTTTAGTCTTGCTGCTTTCCCGAGCCCCTTTTTCACAAATTACTAATGGCATTAGCTAACGAGGAGCGATTTCGCGAGAAGGCGACATTCCCCTTTGACATTTAACTTTCTCAAGTCCTTTGAGAAGAATGTAAATGTTTGGGCCGGTTTAAGGAATGCGTTTTAGCGTAATTTTCTCAGCAGAAAACAAACCTAATGAGTAAAAGTAAAACCATTAAGCGCCCGGCAACGGGAAATTCTTCCTTTTTTCAACTGATTCAATTTTATTCTGTATACAAAAATCAACGATTTAACGTTTTCATCAGTTTATAAAAGATCATTGCCAGATTTTAACGTGCTAATAGAGTGGCCGCAAATGTTCTCAAACGAGATTACGCATGGCTTGATACTTGCCCGAAATAAATATCGTTTAAACAGTCCCGCTGTCCGTGTTGCGCGCGTGTGTTTGTTTAATTAAACCGAATCTGGCGAGGCTAAATTACTTTCCGAGCGAGCGAAAGAGCTGCCCGCAATAATTAACAAATTATAGAGCTGAGACGTAGAAATAAAAGAAAGTTTGTCTGTTACCATTAACGCGTGATTCACCTAATAAGTTTTCCAGCAGCGAACGAGCAACGTTCCAGCTTTGAAACATGTATCAGTAATAACAATTTATGTGAAATATTTGACGTTTGAAAATTACAAAAAGCTGTTCATAAATTAAGAGTCATATATGTATGGCAGTATAATTTAATTGCAATAAAATCAATAGTTTATTTGTTCTTTATCTTAATTAACAAACAGAACGTCGAAGAATTCAATGAACTTTTAGGATTGATCGAAGTCGAATGACCCACAGTTCGCAGTACTAAAACTCGATCTAGTTATTCTTCCCGGTTAACGACACGTAATTACACGCGCTAATTGAATAATTTCGAATTCTAATAATGACTGCCAGTACGGTGCAGCGGTTCAATTACATTTTATTTCCGGCAGGCCCTCCCGGTTCGCAGGGCGATTGACCTATTCGGCCGACGTGCATACATTATTTAAACAATTTTAAACGGTACCGAGCGATGCCGATTGGCCAGGAGTTTTTTGAGTAGAACGTTTTCCTCGGCTTGAATGCCTTCGATCGGGACAGAATGGTCGAAAGTAGTACAAGGCATTTATTAAGATGAATTAATCGACTGCAATAGGGTGACTCGAAAAGACCTCCGTGCTTGTTCAGAGTTCATCGACAAAATTTAAGTGGTGCTACAATGGTCTCTACCCCTCCCCTCCCCCTCTGTCTCTGTCTCTCTCTCTCTCTCTCTTTTCCTACGTTCGTCGGACTTACCGGCTCTCCGTGGCACTCTCGATTCGATGTTATCGAGCAGTTACAGAGCCGTGTAATTAACGGAAGTTACGATAACGAGAGGATTTTGCCAACTGATAAGCAGAAAAGTTGTGCGGTTATGAAATTGCTGTGCAATTACGACTGTTGAATGAGACGTTACAAAAATAAATTCGTTCGACTATAATATAAAAAATCCCACTGCTTTTTTTGGGTTGCGTGAATTTTTAACCGGTGACCAAAGATGACTCCGAGCCAATTCAAACGAAACAATTGATTTTTCAAGCAATTAAATTTGCGCAATTTTGTTCGACAACATTTTCCACGAGTAATTACCGTGCCGGCGATTAATCGATAAATTAATGATGATTATATCATCTGCAGCTCGATAAACATATTCGGAACCAGACATTGATATAACGTTAATTATTCACGGATCAATGATAGGCTTAGATTACATTTGGTAATAAACGTTCTTCGCATCAATTAAACTGCAGACGTGTGAATTCGAATGGAGTTCCATTTTACCGGAACAATGAAAGGGCAATATTGGAGTTTCGATTACTGGCGAAATGAAAAAATATCGCAATATAAATTCATACGAGAATATGAAATGTGTGTGTGTAATAAAAGAGAAGTTTTCTCGTTAAACGTCAAACGGACTGAGTTTTTTATTAAAATACAGATACATTATTTTTATGCCTGGAAAAGCTGCGCGGTAAAAAATTATACAATTCTATCAAAATCGTGGTTGATTATAATAGATTTTTTTAAATAAGTGATTAATAAATTCGAGCGTAAATAAAACAAATTTAATAGTATAGCAATCAATGTACTTACTGTACAATTTGATTTTTCCATCGGTTTCTCCTAACGAGTTCGTCGCCACACACCTGAACGACCCGAAGTCATGAGGTTGTACAGATTTTATAGTAAGCCTCATCGTAATCTCATATCCCTGTGGTATAGCTTCAACCTTGTAATTGTTGTCTGCAAACAGAAACATGAATCACAGATTAATATCTTGTTGTATAGCCTTTCTCATAATACCGTTCCAGCTACAGTTTTACTCTGCTCTGCTGTTTGTAAATGCAAATTTTATTATTCCATTAAAAAGCTAATTTAAAGCTGATTTAAAATGTAAAATGGACATGATATTCTAACTTCCGAATACTAAAAGTACTTTTTTTTAAATAAGAGTGCAGTCTAAGAAGCAATTTTTGAAGAAGAAATAAAATTTCCAATGAATCTTTTAAGGATCTGGTGTCAATCTCCAATTTTAGAAACATGCCATGCAAGTATCTACAACGGTGGGTCGAGATGTTATTGGGATTGAGTGATCAATGTTTCATTTACATTTGACCCTCGAATGAATCGTTAACGTTAATGAAGACCCGAGCATATTTCGCTTCGACCTATCAGACGCAGGGCATTAATGTTTTCGCAGAATCCTCTCAGCCGGTAGCCAAGGAAACGAGTATCGAACAAGACAATTTCACGCCGTCCCGTGTCACTTTTTAACGCAGCCCGCTCCCTCGTTTTCTTGTCGTTTGTTTCGTCCCGTTCAATCCGCGAATTTAACGAGTTTCTGTCACGCCACGGCTGCAAGTTTTTTCCTACCGCCTAGAAAAGTTGCCCGAAGCGACGCGACGTATCAATTAATCCAGATATAAATGTTTCCGACTCGTCCGGCGCAATTAAAAGGTGCCCATGATTCATGTAGCTACTAGAGAAATTGATTAAGATACGAGAGATGAGATACATGATTCGTTTTCTCTCGTCTTTTCTGTTATCAATTATTGTTGTTAAATCAAAGACCTGGCCGAGCCGTACGTGTCATACCTCGTTTCTCCTTCTAACAATTATTCCGCTGGGTTTAGGGCGCGCATTTAAACGACAATGCTGGCTCGGAACGATTAGAGAAGACCGCATTAACGTCACTAAGTAAGTATTGCGCCATATCTTCCAGCAGGAAAAGCTAAACTACGAAGTGCGGTAACATAATCCTGTTTTCACATGCAAATAAAAGATTTAGTACGTATTTAGTTAGTTTAACGTATTCAAGCTTTGTGATAAAATGTAGTAAGCACGATTTATCATTTCTTCCTTTTGTAGTATTTGTAGTAACAAATACTTAAAAGTTTTTTCTTGTTTTCTTTTTTAAATGTATTATCGTACCGTTCGCGATGGTCTCGTTCGACGGCCTGGTCCAATAAGTGATGGGTTTCGGATGAGCCTCGCTGCGACATTCCAAAACTAGCGTTTGATCCTCGTAAGCACCGACCAACTGATTCTCAATCCTCACCATTGGCTGAACTATAATAAAAATTTATAATATCTTATCCGCAAGTAAAATGGAATTTTCTTGTATATTGTAACGTAATAATAAACTTTTTAAGTATGTCCATTGATTGTACTACAGTCAATATTTGTAAAGTAAAATATTTCATGCTGTACCAAAACATGGACGTACAGACACAGTACCAAATGTTGGGGAAATAAATCAGTGAATTATAAATTCGAGAATCAATCAAAGCTAAATATTTAAACATTTTATCTGTGAAATCGTACTGCATGAATAATTCTGTTCGAATTTCATGGGAGTTATAATGTCAGTATTCATCCTCTTGAACTATAAACTTCCGTTTCTGGGTGGGTTATTGCCGCCAAAGTAAATGCAATTTTCTGCAAATTTCCTGTTACTGTCTGTGCCGCGTATTTTTTGCTCCTATCGGAGAGCCAGACGGCAAAGATTTAAAATATTAAATTTGAAAAATCGCTCATTTGGAAATTAAAGAGTTGGGAAATATCATTCTTCGGAACGTTGGACATTAAAACGGTTTTAACATTAAAAGATGGATATTACATAAATTTTATGTACAAATTTATTGAATCAATAAAGCCCTAAAATAAATTTCTGATAATATCTACGTTGATGATAGTTAATCATAAATTTGTTATCCCTATCAGACAAAATCATTTAATTCAATTCCGTTTCGACAACATTTTATTATAAACAGTCCACAGGACTGTCAAGTTAGTTGGCTGGAAATATTTAAGGCGTTGCTGTAACACCGGAAACAATGGTCTCCCGCATCTGCCATTCACATTCATATTCTCCCAAGTGGCGTCATTATGCTGCCTCTTTGCCGACAGCCACATAGCCAGACTTTAAATTGCATTTTCTACCTCACGCGTATAATTTATTGTCAGCTACTTATACTACTTGGAACCTGGAAATATTTTACGTTTTTTCAAATAGAATTCGATTTCACAAAACAAACAGATTTCTCATAATTCGACGTAGTAAAACATAGCAAGTACACTGAAGCATATTAAAATATTTTCATATCGCAGATAATATAAATAGCTAACGATGCATTATATGTATACGTGAGGTGGAAAATCCGATTTGAAGTCTGACCGTGCGGTGTCATGAAATAAACTGTAAACATATTGGACATTACGAGGTTTAAATACATTTGATACGTACAGTGGACGATGAGAACGATCCGTTTGCTGACTGCTGGCGGCACGCCGTTCGACGCGATGCACAGATAGGAGCCCATCTGGTCGCGCGTGACACGCGTTATTTCCAACACCGAGCCGTGGACTACTACAACAAAACACATTTTCAAACGTGCAGCGGTTGTTTCGTTCAATAGCTTCAGTTATAAGCAGTAACTGCGGGATTGGGTTAAAACTGCGTTGGAAAAATCGGTATCGTACGCGTCCAGCTTTCGGCAGGCCACGAATACGAAGAGAAGGCAAGCTAGTGAATGACACGAAAAGCCGAAAGCGTTAGGCAGTCGATTTCGCGTAGATAGATGTTCCGGTTGAATGACGCGTCGCTGTTGAATTGATGCTTGGCATGCAGCTATTTTACTGAACTGGAAGAGGAATTCGAGGTACAGGTTTTGTACAAATGATGGGTAAAATAAATGCATTATGAACGAGATTTAGAGTTTAAATTTCTAAATAGAACTTTAATACTAGTTCTACCAAACGGTGTCGAAAGGTGCCTTTTGACGCTGGTGGAAATGATGTTAATCGGTAAAATATGTGCACATGAAATTCAGTAATTAGAATTAATAACTGTATACAAATAAGTGATTTTTATGTCTGAGAACAATAGGAGTGAATTTGTTGCCTAAATGCAATGGATGTAACTAACTATCAGTCCCGAGATTAATGCAATAATATTCGGTTTACCACTATACTTGCACGAAACGCTCTAACTGGTGCATAAAACGGGGTAATCATTAAAGGGTTTACCGGATATTTCTGTAATCAATGCCTATGCCTACGCGTAATAACGTTGCCGCCCGTTCTCCGGAAACGGTAAATGTTAAATATGATTACGCTCGTAGCTGCGGCTGTAATCCGGCGGAAAATATTCGAACCACGAGAAGGAACCTGATGCGATGCACCGAACGAACGAACATGGGTAGTCTTGTGCACATTGCGGACAAGAACGGAAAACCTGCTTAACAGATTTAATTAGATCGCTCGAGGTGCCCCGCAAAAGATGTAACCGCGTGTAAGGAAAATCCCACTTTGTGGGCCACGAAATTTCGCGAGCGGATGACTCGTTAAAATGACGACCGATGGCAGACGAGTTGAAAGTGAATGCTAATTTGTTGACGTCGTCAGCTTTACTGCTCTCAATTTCGATGTGAGGCGATCGAATACGTCAACGAGATCGGGGGAAGTAAAAAACAAGCGGAGAATTTCACAGAATTTCATAATTAAAAAATTAATTAAAACAAGTTTAGTGAAATAGCTGTCGAAGTATTAATTTTGCAAGAAATTTTCCTTTTGAGTGACTGAACTTTTGTAATGAAACTTTTTGAATTGCTATCGTCCTTATTTAAGAGCTTAATTATTATTTTAGTTTATCAATTTGCCAGCCCCTCGAACGGAGTTTCACTCGAAGCCTGAGGCTACTAAGCTTCCATATTTTTCTTATTAACAAAAGTTGCAGGGACTTCGATAAAAGTACCGATGAGTCAAGCTTGGCTAAATAAAATGTTAATTATATGAAACTGATCAACGGCATGAAGTAATAATCACTCATATATGAATCCATTGAATACATTTTCTCGATCCCAATTCTCTGTTAAACACAGTCGTTTATAAAACTCGAATTTATGGAAGCTACTCTTTGTTATTCAATCTTCTAATTTAGTGACTTTTCACTCATTCGCAAAATCGATAGTGATTTTTTTCCGTTAAAATTTAATCTTACAAAAAGCTTCGTTTGCTGCACGAAAAGCGAGACTTTCGGTAAACAATATTCAGGTTTTCGGCGGCGCAATTTGAATGCACACATACACACACAAAAGCGATACGTCACGTTAAATTTTGTTCTAACGCACGTCAATGCCATTTAGCAGGTAATGTGATTAATCGCGTTAATTTTATTACGTTCCGATGTTGCGAATGCGTCTCACCATTTCGCAACGGTGTGGCATCGCGGCAATCCATCAATAGCGCAATAAACAAAGTTCGGTTTAATGTAATTAATTCAGTTTAATTTATTTCAAACAGTGATTCCAAAATAAAAAATATTTATCATTGTACGTAGGAAAATTGGTAAAAAATTTTATTAGACGACCTGAAATCATTTTTATACACTATTGTTATATGTGCAAATAGTTTTCTCACAAAATTTTGCTAAGCACAGTAACATTCAACTTCGAACAGCTATTTATGAACTCGGTTGCGAATTCTCAAACTATAACTATTGTTAGGATGCAACCACGTATTACTAATTGTAAGTACTAATTTACTAACTTCGAGTTGCTAACAACTGTTATCTACATTCACGTAATGGTCTAATGATCCGCATTTACTTGACACATCAGTTTCATTGTACCATTTTACAACAAACCTAACTGTAAATGTTTAAGATTCATAAAGAAGTTTTTCTCGACGAGTAGAAAATCTCGTGAACTGGGTTACTAAAATTTCCTATTTCCATAACGACTGATCAATATGTAAAATACAGGAGTCCGCGAGAAAGAGAGATTCCACCAATTTCACCCATTGAAATCGTCCTCTCGAGAAAAAAAGAGCAGACTCCTTTAAATACCGATTGAAAAGAGCGTTTAAACCGTCGAAATTCATTTCGCGTGTTGAACTGTGTCCTGAGGCAATTAGGCGAGCATCAGCTCTAACTACTCTGAAATTACTGGCAGGAATAAGCTTCGTCGGGCGACAGGGACTTTACTTCTTACTTTTCATCGCCAACTAGAGTTTGTTCCCACGTGTCCGCTGTAAAACATCGAGGATCGCACACAGAGAGGAGGAAACGACGTACGTACATATACGATCCATGGAATATTTTATTTTGCTTCTACTTATCGCCTAATGGAATCACGATCGAATTGCGCGAGAGGCAACAGCTGCCGAAGAAGAATTGAATAAAATGAAGAAGCAAGACGACAAATGCTTCGAGCGATTCCTTAAAACCAGCCGCGGACGATAAAAGATTCATCCCGGGAATAAATCACCGGTATTTCATTCCTATCTTTCTAGCCACACCGTCGTCCTCGTCGTCGAGGCGAAACTCCTTTTCATTCCGTTATCTACTCTTCTCTCTTCCCCTATGGCCTTATCTCCCAATGAAACCCTACATCTGATACATTCCGTTATCAAATCCCCTTGAAATGAATTCAATTTTTTGACAATTTTTTTTCAACTCAAATCGATGTGACCAGAGAATTCTTGTACATTAAGCTTCGAGCACAATTAGTCAAATTATCGAATCATCGCAACTTTTAAATTAAAGCTTCGAACGTCTGGTTAAGGAATTATTTCGAGAGATCGTAATCTCGCGTCTTTTGATCCCTAACTAGGAACTACCCAGTCCCTTTCAAAAATCATCCAGAGCCATCGACGCTCGTTCGCCACTCAAAAGCGCGGAACGGAGGGTTCTTAATTAACGAGAGGCCTCGGCCATTTATCTAAGCAACAAAGGAGCGGCGCGAGCTGAAAAATTGTCGCCCAACCGAGGACCCACAGACGCGTCGGAATTGCGGTACTATTCCGTAGTCTTAACGCTCTCGAGCCTCGAAAGGGCCCCGGGTGGGGTGGGCGAGAGAAGAAAGGAAACGGTTAGGGTTGACCCTTTTGCTTACGCGCCTGCACGCTGCACAATTGGAAACGTTCCCTGCACTTCCGTGCGCAATTAGTCCCGGAACGGGTTGAACAGTCGCGATGGCGTCTCCGAGGAGGAGCAAGAAGAGGCAGATCTGGAATCTACCGGAGGAGCTGCGTAAAAAGAGAGGCGAGCAACGGGTCGCGAATGGTAATTAAGGGGCAAAAAGAATCGATGAGAATAAAACGAGCGACGGCTTTGACGGGTTAAAAACTGGAGCGTCGCGCCGCGTCGATTCCACGCCAGAGACGGGGCACAGGCGTAAGGTATCCGAGCCGGGCCACTCATATTGGTCGTATCGATTTCCGAATTCTCGGACAGACCGGTTTTCCGTAGCCACTCGTACCTGATGAACTCGATCCGTTTATGTAATTGAAGTATCGACGCATTAATTGGTGGATCCGGATAACGACGCTTAATTAACCGGCTGCCGTCTCGGGAGTAAATTAATACGTTCCGAAGGGAAAGACAAACGATTCGAAAGATGACTACCGAACGGAGTATCGATCCCGGCGGATCGACGCTTGTTGCTAGCATTCCGTTGGACGTTCTTGCGGTTTCGAACGATGTAAATCAGGTTCGCAGATATATTGCTCCCTAAAATTGGAATAATTAATCGAGGATAATTTTGTATTCTCTGTGCTAACTTTCCCAATAATAAAATATTGATCTGTACTTTTAAATGGCAATTTGATTTTTTAATTCGAACGATCACGCTTAATCTTGAACCGTATTGGACACATGACAGAAGCAATTGATACAATTAATTTTACTCGCTGAAAATATAAAATGTCTATTGCTTTTATAGGATTATAGAAATACAGATGACGAGTAAAACGTTTTATTGAAGCGCAGCGAAACCATTTTTCATTAATTGTTATCTCCGTTACACTTACGTAGACGGATAACAGAGAATTCGATGACCGAAAACACATCGTGTAACGCGTTATGACATCCGTAAACGTATTACCGCGGCGCGTCAATCAATTACAACGCATGAACTGGAAAACGTCCGGCGATCAATGGTAACTGGATTCATCTTTTCGCGATGATACAAGCGTCAAACAATTTTCAACTACGTGGAATGTTATCAATTTCCATTTGTGCTTGAGAAACAGTAGCTTGAATATCATTAAAACGAATGTTTCTTTAAAATGTTTAATTATATGTTCCAGAACTGAATTTTATTTTGGCTAATTCGATAAGAATCATTGCAGATTTTCTAGCAGGCAATACTTACTATGTGTAATTGAATGAAATCGCTAATTACAATTGAGGCAGAACTTACGTTTCCACTATTTTAAGGTTTACATTTAAATATAAATTTAATATTTCGATCTATTTATATTCTTTAGCAATGTCAATTTTATAGATAAATAAGTTACAAATTTAAACTTGCTTGCAATTTGATTACACAATTCCATAATAAAATCAATTTCGTGACGAACTGAATTTCTGTGAAATTTTCAGCTGCACTTATACGAGATATCTCAGGAACAGTTTTCCCTCCGATAAAAGTTCAACTAAAACATGATGTAACAAATATGATTTAAAAGGATGTAGTATTAAATAAACAGAGTTTGCTCCTGGGTGTGTGTACTGTAAATAAGCCTGTACAAGCTTCTTAAACTGGAATCTTTACGAAGCTGTGTGTCAGCAAACACGTCACTTTCTGTGCTACGTAAACCGCATTCAGTTTATAGAGTAGGATCCATCTGCCCCTGGTGCTTGAAAAGAGGATACCCTTCGATTGCACAGAAGAAGCGAGTCACACGAGAGGAAAGATTTCATCCAGCTGGCGCTGTCAAAACCCTGGCCTAGTCTCCCAATGAAGATCTCGAGCAATCAGAGAGGCAACCGAGTCGCAGCTTTATTCGGTGAGGGGTCGAGGGAAAGTGTGCTACTCGGCATGAGGAAAGTGGCAATCTACACGGAACGGGGTGGGTAACAATGCCGGCTGGATGGAGTGACCTAAAGGAGGAAGATGAATAAACTGTGGATATTAAAATTGAATGTGCATAAAATGTAAAGTGCAAAAACGTAGAGGGCGAGAAGAGTATAATACAGGTCATTGTTTCTGAAGGATAAATTAATCTAAATCTAGACTTCATTTCTGAAATATAAATCACAAATATTTTATCCTACTTAGAAGTGTTCAAAGGCTATAGATGAGAGAAAGGGTGCAAAGCTTTACGATTTGGTATCGAGTGTGAAACGTGTCGAAAGGTGATTCGGATTTCTCTTTTTTTACTACGTACGGTTCGTCAAATTCCCTCCGACCTCACGGCGCCACGTGACAGTCGGCTCCGGGGTGCCGGTAGCGGCGCATCGTAATGTCACGTTGCTACCCTCGCGCACGACCATGTCCGTGCTCGTCGAGTCGTCCAGGATGTCCGGTGGTACTGAAACAATGACCGCATTGCAATACTACGTGTTGTTCCACCATGTACAAACTGTTTCAAGTGATTCCGTCTTGCTTGCTATTAGTTAATACAGGAATTAAGGACAGTTACTTTAATTCGAGATGCACTTTTTCATCTTTGGGTGCAATTTAACTTCGAAACGTGAACACTTACAAAGATATAAATAAGAAATATAGAAAAGGATATAGAATATCTTTAATTTTCAGAGAATTCAATTTTTATTAGAATATATTAAATGAAAAATCAATAATTTTCCATGAATTTCATCTGCATTCATATTGTATGAAAGCTGAAAGCATTACCTGAAATTATAAGTTACATGATTCCTTATATGGATTTCCAATATGAATGCATCGTTTCATAAAACCATTTTACCGCAGACTTCACCATCCTATTCCTGTTTGATATCTGTTTTCCTGTGAGACAAACTCAGAGACTGTACCGAGCGTGCAGTGTGCACGCTTGAACGGGAGACCACTCGCTCGGATAGATGACTATCTGGCCACCATCGAAACCGATCTATCGGTTTCTCGTTGTACATTTGCAAATATTCCGGGCCTGTCGCGTCACAGGAGAACCGGACTATGGTACACAACAAGCGAGTTCAGCCTGTCTCGCATAGGAATGGCAATCCGATCGTAAAACCGGAAATCATTCGGCCGATCGCCGATGCGTTCCGATGGCCTGACACCTATTGACAGACGTGTTTTTCGAAGATTTTACCTTATCGTCGTCTGCCAAATTGTTACACATTAATTTATATAAAATATTACGTTGTGTATAAATTATGAAACACCATTGTTTCATGTTCTAGAGTCAACGTATAAAATTTCTTTTTACTGAAATATGCAATGGGAAAGAAATCCAGTTTAATAAAAATTCAGGCGCAATCTTAAATTTCGTGTAATTAAATGCTCGAAAATTTTCAAAGAGGGGAATTAAACACCAATTAGCCGGCTCTGTCTTGATCTCCTTTTTCTCTCGACGTAGGCGCGTCGAAGGGGGAGCCATTGTTTCGTGGCATTGATTCGCGATAATTGGCCACGCTCGGGGACTTTAATCGCCGTTTGAATGGCGGGTGGGAAACTGTTTTGTTTTGCACACGCGCGCAGGGTTGAAAATTAAACGGCATATCGTGGAGCACGAAGATAACCGCGCGCCTCTCCTTGATTCATCAGAGGATATTATTTCAATTTAAATGGGCCACGGCGTGAAGTTTCGTCAATTGAAAGAGAATTATTACATCCCACTTTTTAATCCCGACAGCTGAAGGCTTCCGGATTTATGTGAACGAAGAAATAAAAAATTTATACTTTTACATTAAAGTATTTAGCCCTTAAAATGTTATTTTTCGAACATATCAACATCTGGGTACATCTAAATGATTCTAGGACAAAGGCAATGTTTTCACGATCGTTATACCAATTTTTCAAAGCTCCATTTGTGTTCGATACACAATATCTATCGGCCTCGTTTACTGAAACGTAGAGTTCGATTGCTTCAGTATTTTTTAAAAAGTGCTATGTAGGAACAAAATTGATATTCCTTTCCAACGGTGTTTATTTGTAAAGTGCCCAGTTTCCTTAATTGATATCTAATTTTTAATTTCGGTCAACAACTTCTAACGAAATTCAATTATTATAAATTAATATACTTGTAAAAGGTGTAACAGTACGACAAATTTAACTGGATCGTATAAGTCAAACGCAAGCTTTAAGAGAAACTGTGAAAACGACCCTTTAATCTTCTTTTAAAAAAAATTCCCAAAGCATCCCTTTTATAAACAAGTTTTTGAATATGTATTTAGCCTGTATTTGCATCGTGGAAACTGGAAAATATTTGGTACCGTGAAAAATATGTATGAATTTTTACGGACAGCTCAGAAATTCAGATC